ATCCTGGGGTCCCTCTCCAGCAGCTGGGCTTGCCTTTCCAGCAGGGTATGGGATCCCAGTTGTACCTGTGTGCAGCTCCCAAACACCCTCCCTTAAGAAAGGGGGCTTGGGAATTCCCTGTGCACTGGCTCATGCCTCAAAAACCACTTTTTTCTTCCCCCCACAGGAATTCAGGTGCTGTTTGGGCACGGAGAAGGTGCCAGGTTTCCTTCTGCCCATGTCTGGGTGCTGTGCACAGGCTGAGCAAGCCCTGGGCACATCCTGGGATCCCTTTCCAGCAGGGAAATCCCAGTTGTACCTGTGTGCAGCTCCCAATCACCCTCCTTTAAAAGGGGGCTTGAGAATTCCCTGACTGCCCCTCACCACACATCTCTGGGTGCTGTGCACAGGCTCAGCGAGCCCTGGGCACATCCCGGGATCCCTTTCCAGCAGCTGGGGGTTCCTTTCCAGCAGGATATGGGATCCCAGTTGCATGTGGGTGCAGCTCCCAACACCCTCCTTTACAAAAAGGGGTTGGGAATTCTTAGGGAATGGCACCCTCTGATCGCTCATGCCTCAAAAACACTTTCCCCCTCCCCCTACTAGAATTCAGGAGCTGTTTGGGCACAGAGAAGGTGCCAGGTTTCCTTCTGCCCATCTCTGGGTGCTGTGCAGAGGCTGAGCGAGCCCTGGATGCATCCTGGGATCCCTTTCCAGCTGCTGGGGGTTCCTTTCCAGCAGGATATGGGATCCCAGTTGCATGTGTGTGCAGCTCCCAAGCACCCTCCCTTAAAAAGGGGCTTGGAAATTCCCAGTGCACAGCATCCTGTATTGGCTCGTGCCTCAAAAACCACTATTTCCCCCACCCCCCCAGGATTTCAGGAGCTGTTTGGGCACAGAGAAGGTGCCAGGTTTGCCCTGGATCAGAGGGTGGGGCAGTGGCTGCTGGGGGGACACACAGGGACAGGTCCTGCCTGTCCAGCAACCCCTGTTTGGGTCCTGGCTGAGCACACAGCTCAGGATTTGCTCTTGGAACAAGATTGAGGGTGCAGTGGTGCCAACACAGACCCCCTACACAAACCACAGCCATGAGCAGGGGATCAGGGATCAGTGTGACCCCTCTGACACCCCTTGTTGCTGCCACGTGGCCACCACAGCCCTCACTGTCCCCCCCAGTGTCCCCCCAAGCTTCAGGTGACAGCCCACAGCATATTCCCACCAGGCACCACTCACCAGCAAGGCTCTCTCCAGGCTGCCTTTCCCTGCTAGGATATGGTGGGGCCCCTGCCTTCCTCTGATGCTCTCCTCCTCCTCCTCCTCCTCTTCCGTCCCCTTGGCCCCTGCTGCAAAAAATATTAACCAGCACTTGGAGGCGAGCAGAGCCAGCCCGAGCCAACAGAAAAGAGAGACTTACCTCCTTGTCCCCCTCCTTGTCCCCTTCCTCGTGGCTCTGCTGCTTCCCAGGCAAGACAAAAAGCGTGGCAGAGCAGAGAAATTCAAAGCAGGGAGGAAAATTCTGCTTTTCTTCCCCGGCTGGGTGCCCAGCAGAGAACAAACAGCCCAGCTGGGGCCAGAGGGACTCGCAGGCTGCCGGGCTGGCTGGAGCTGTCAGCTGGATGCCAGAGAGCAAACACGGCCAGAAAAGCACCATCTGACCCCCCTGCTGCAGTTCCCAGTGGCTCCAGTCAAAGAACAGAGATAAAATTCATTTACACCCCAAGAGCTCAAAGTGAAGGTGGTAACACCAAAAAAAAAAAAAATTGGAGTTGGGTAGAAAATGAGGGTTAGATTTTGATCTGCAAAGCTGAAGTTTGTTGTTCCTTCAGCTCAGGGCTGAACTGGGGCCTGTTTGGGCAGGACACACAAGTTCTGCTGGAGGGCTCATGCTGGTATCTCAGAGAAGCAGAAGCCGGGGTGGAGTCAGGGTTTGGCTGCTGGTTGGGAGGGATTGGGGTCCCAGCAGCATCATGGGCCCCCAGGCAGCATCTCCCACCCCTGTAGAGCTCTGAGCAGCCATGGGATGGGTTTTTGGGGGGTTTTAAGCATCCAGCTCAAGTGGAAGTGCCCCTTTTCTGCTCCTCAGTGCCCAATCCCTCTGCTCTTGCCTGCTGGACACCCTGTGGTACCCAAACTGCCCCAGTCTGGGAAGGGTTTAACAGGAGCTGAGGGGTTCCCTTATTCCAGCTTTATACCCTGTCTCCAGCAGCATTTCCCCTCCTTTTCCCAGAGATAAAACCAAATTTTGTCTCAGTTTCTCAGTTTTACAGAGAAAGCCCCAGTTCCTGCAGGCTTCTCCACGGACTAAATTGCTCAGAACAACCACAGAGCTGCAAACAAGTCTAAACTCCTGTTTGCAGTGGGCTGTTTCTGTTTGGCAGGCCAGAACCATTTCATCAGCCTGTCCAAATTATCAATATGACCTTTGGGCTGGAGCTGACCTAGAACAATACAAGCCCAAGCCTGAGCCCTTCACCAAGCTCAGGATGGGCAGTGGGAACAGCGGCAGCTCCCACAGCCCCTCTGAGCCCTGATGTGACTGCAGAGCAGGAATGAAGGGGTTAATTTTGGGGTGATCAGTGCGGTGTAGAGGGAGCCCACACAGTTCAACCTCCCCCTGTAATTTTTAGGTTAATTCTAAAATAAAACTCAGGCGCCAGCTGGAGCTTTCTAGGTCACAGCAAACGTGGTTAAAGCAGGGCTGAGCCAGCCAGGCGTGCTGCAGACTGTCAGCATTGCCTCTTCCACCACAACCTCACTCCCATCCTCATCCTCATCCGAGCTGTGCGCTCAGCTTTGCCCCACAACCCCAATTTGGGCTTGGGAAGCACCACCAGCACCTGCCCTGAGCCAAAAGCACCCCAAATTCCAAAAGCACTCAAATCCCACAGAGTCCTGCTGGGCAGAGCTGTGCTGAGTTTCCCCTGCCTCAGTTTCCCCACCTTGGTGGCACAGCAATTTGGGGTGCTCTGGGCTGGGTTGGGTGAGCTCACCCCAGAGGGGCAGAGGGAGGTGGCCACGCTCTGGCTGGTGGCCAGGGGGCTCAAGGGGCAGTGCCAGGGCCCGTGGCTGTCACACTGTGACAGGGACAGCCAGCAAACACAGCAACCCCACGCTGTGTTTGCTCATTGGGAGGGGGGATTTCATCAGCAGCTGCTCTTGCTGGGGGAAAAAAATAGAATAATAAATAAAACCCTATGCCTGGTGTGTCCCTCCCCACTCCTGGGACAGGCCAGGGGCTGTGCAGGAAAAAAAAATCAGAATAATAAATAAAACCCCGTGCCTGGTGTGTAACTCCCCACTCCTGGGACAGGCCAGGGGCTGTGCAGGATGGAACCAGCTGGGCTGGCTGGGGTTTATCCTGCTGTTAATGGCCTTGGAACGCTGCTCCTGCTCTGGTTACTGCACCTGGCCCTGGCTGGGCACGCTGGATCAATGCCCCATTCATTCCTGAGCTGTCAAACCCTGCACTGAACAAGCCCCAGCAGCAGATTTTGGCACAAAGCTGAGCAAAGCCACTGTGGATGCACCCACCTGCCAGCTCCAGCCACTCCCCAAGGCTCAGTGTCCCCAGCCCCGGGCTGGCAGGGATGTCCCCAGAGGCAGCACAGAATGGGAACAGAGTTTTGCACTGCCCAGCTCTTGGCTGCAGGCTCCAGGGCTGCATTTGTGCCATCCCACCCACCCAGGGCCAGGCTGGGGCTCAGCAGCAGGCACCTAAACCTGGTATTTAATCCATGGTGAATGTTGAGAGATGCCCCAAGACCAAATAGCCACGAGGAAAGGGCTCATCCCAGGCAGGGTCAGCACCTGGACCAAGGCTCAATACCTGGCTGGGCAGCACCTTCCCAAAGCAGCATCCAAAATTCAGTGCCCAGCTCACGTCCTGATCCTGTGATAAAACCCCTCTGCTCACTGCACATCCCCTTCCAGCTGAACCTGGGAAAACTGAAGCACTGGGGACTCCAAGGGTGGCAAAAATTGATGTTGTTAATTAAATGACATGGCAGCTCACAGGGACAGCACATCCCTGCTCAAGGTGAGGCCTCTTGAACACCTCAGGGTTTTAGAAGCAACTGTGCAGCTTATTTATTGCTCTGGAACATGCTGCTGCCTGCAGGGCCAGGTGGATTGTGGAATATGATATCCAGGAGTGACTAAAAGCCATGGAAAATCAGCTTCTTTCCTTCACCCTGCAGGGGCTCAGCTCAGAAAAGGAGAAACAGGGAAACTCCTGGATGGGACAACTGCAGGAGCGGCAGCTGCTCCAGGAATGAGAAGGGGCCTGACAGGAACAGAAGGGATCTACTCCAAATTTTATAGGGTAAAAGCACTTACTGTTCATGCCAGGAATCAGGAAGGATCCATCCCTGGGAGCACCCATCTTCCTGGATGGGCCAAGCCACCCCTGAGCCCCAGCGCAGCCAAGAGGGTTTAGTGACAATGACCCTGCCATCCTTGGCACATTAAAAACCATGGCTGGAAAAAAACCTATCAGCAAAATTACACTTTATTTTGGTTTGGTTTTTTTTCTGTTGGGGAATTTACTTTGATGAATTGTAACTTAAAAAGGCCTGGAAAAACCACATGCAAAAGGATTTCTAAGTAGCAGCTAAAGTTTCTATTCCAGCATTACAAGCTATTCCAAATGATTTCCAAATTCCCAGCTATAAACTATTCCATTAAACAAACAGTTTTATCTTTAAACCCCCCTCCACCCTACCCCAGTTAGTGCAGTGCAAAGGAAAAAAACCCAAGGAATTTACATATTATTTTCCAACTTATCCCATTGCAATTCCCAATGATCTTGAGACGACTTAAAATAATACATCCAATTTTCTCGCCATCATAAAAAAAACATTTCCCTTTCTTATTCACAGATATATTTGTGGCAAATGGCTGAATAATTACTTACAAACAGAACAATCTCTTTTTTTTAACAAGTTTCTTACACCAGTAAACACAAAGAGGGAGAGCTGTCTGGGGGAGGGGGTTTGGCAGGGCAGGCAGAGGGTGGGGGTCCCTTTGGGGTCCCTGGGACAGGGCTGTGCTCTCCCAAGGTGATGCCCTTACAAAATTGGCCATGTTAAAAAGGAAGGGCTGTAAGGCTTTGGGATGTGAGGAAGAACAGGAGCCATCAGGATTTTGTGTGTCCCACCCACCCAAAATGCCCCCTCAGTCCCTGCAATGGCAATGGGACCCTCTGCCCTGCACAGGGGCAGGGAATTGTCAGCTCCCTGCTGGCTGCTGCCCTCAAACTGAGCATGGAGGGGCTGGCTGGGAGGGGGTAGCACCAAACAGTACCTTGGGAATGCCCTGAGCCCCTCTCTGTGTCCCTGTCACCTCCCCTCTGCCCTGGCCAGACCCCTTTGCAGCCACCTCACACCCCATGATTGGGGCACTCCCAGAGCTCCAGCAGGAATGGGGAGCAAAGCAGGGGGGCTCTGGGCTTGTCATTGTGTAATTCCCAACTTAGCATCATTCCCTTGTTCTTGAGAGATCCAAATTCTTTCATTTCTTAGCCCAAACATGGTTCTGGTTTTGCTGCTCTGTTTGCAGACCCCCATGGCAGGGGCTGAGGGCAGCAGCACTGCTCACCCAGCCAGCACTGGCATCTCCCACATTGGCAGCAGGATCCCACAGCAGGAACCACCCCAAATGCCAGGGGAACAACAGCAGGGCATGGAAGCACCAGCTCAAAATGCCAGGTATTCAGAGAGGCAGCTCCTGGGGCTCACACACAGGGAAGCTGTTCCCTGCCACGCTCCCACACGTGGGTTTTGTTTGTATTTGCACTTTGGGAAGGACAGAGGGTGCTCAGGACACAGTGGGAATGTCACAACACACGGACCTTTACTTGACAGCAGCAGCAGGAACAGCCTGTGGGAGGAAGAGGAAGAGTGGGGGGGCAACGCTGCCAGCCCCCAAAAGTGCACACAGCTGGGAAGAGGAGATGCTTGCACAGCTCAGGGACAGGATTCAGGACTTGATAGCATAGCCCTTGTTCAGGTGGGTTCACCCTGAGCTCATGAGGTGGGAATTGTCATAGCTGCAAGGAAAATCAGCCTGGCTTGGGGAGGACAGACCCACGGACACATCCTCTGCATGTACCTGGTGCCTTGGTGGCCTCTGAAACCCTTGTGTGGAGCACATCTCCAGTCCTGCAATGCACTGGGACCTCCTGCTCACCAGTGGCACCAGTCTGCTCCCTGGGCACCCCCTGCTTGCAGCAAGGCTGCTGGGACTGAGGTGACTGTGAACAAAATGGGCTTGGGGGTGCCAAAATGGCTTTGTCCCCTCCTGGCTGACTTGGAGCTCCACTTCCAATGGTCACAGCCCTCTCCAGGCGTCCCCACCCTGCCCCTCACCCTGGCCACAG